GGACTAGGCGTTTTCGTGTTAGTCTAGATTTTTGCTAGATCACCATTGCTTGGATATTTGTTTGGATTACTTTGCGACATAACCGTTTCACAGCACTTTCGGTTCGTTTTGTCTCTTTGGTGTGCAGCTCTTCCGGTGCATGACAAGAAGCACAACCGGTAGAGATCAACTCGTCTTCGACCACGAAATAGAAAGGACCCTACGCTTCGCTCATAGACAGCAAAGACAGTTCGATCAAACCATATTCCTATGTGAATAATACGATCTATCCTATCGATTTTGATCCGAAACTAAACCCATATTCCTATGTAGTTCAGAATCTGAAACAATTGGTCAAGGGGTCAGCAAACACCAATTGAATAAAGCACAAATCGATAAAACCGAAACAAATCCAAATCGCAACCAAGTTAGGGTTCAAACATACCCAAAACACAAACGAATCCCTAACCCACAGCCGTGGATCTACTCACGGTTCATGGAAAAACACTGAGAAAAACTAGAAACAGAAAGAAAAGAGGGAGAAGAAAGGCTCATGTCGACAGCAATGCGTTCTTCACGTTCCAGCTCTCCTTCTTCTTCCCGAAATCCCGTTTTACTCCTATTTCTCTCACCAAAGCTCTACAAAATCTGTGTAAAGTATGTCTACCTCTTTTGGACGTCTCTAGTGTCCTTTTATCAACCCTAGGCGGCGCTCCCGAAGTCCTACTCCCCTTCCAATTCTGAAAATTCGATCTGGGATTTTTTCTGGGTTTTGACTCGGACCGAGTCAGTACTCTGACTCGACCGAGTCAAAACGAAACATAATGAATTCGGCCCAGTCCAATCTTCTGACTCGGGCCTTCTGACTCGGGCATGTTGACTCAGGGTAAACTGACTCCGACGTTCTGACTCGGTCTCCTCGTAACAGGCTTGAATTGGGTCCTTTTCAGCATGTTGACTCGGCCCAATTTCTGTTGTTGACTTTGGCCGAGTCAAGGTAGGAAGTTCTTGATGTATTTCAATCCTTTTAGCTCCAGATTGCTTCCATCTTAGTCCAAATCTCATCCAAGACCTGTAATCCAATAAAAACACAACCAAACCGAGTTTCGTAGCCTAACGCGCCTATAATGCCTATAAATGAATATGATCCTCATATAAAATCCTATAGAAACGCCCTGAAAATATAGAGAGAATTAGGAGTTATCAAATCCCCCCAAACTTAAACCTTTGCTCGTCCTCGAGTAAGGAACGAAGGAATAAAATCTGCAAAACAGGGATGACGAACATCAAATAGCATCTTCATGAAACTCAAAAGCGAAACATCCATCCGATGCTAGCTCCCCGTGAATCGTACCCAAACCGGTCTACTATGATCTTTCTACCAAAGACTAATCTACCTAGTCATGGGACTTTTATTGTCACCTAGAACCCATTAGAATCTCTACAACTCACCAAGCCTATTTCTGAACCTATCCTTATCTCAACTTTTGCTATTTCGATCTTAGTTCTACTTTTATGCCTGGATTTTTACCTTTTTGTAGGATTTTTCCGTCAAACGCACGCATCTCAGGTTTCTAGGACGTTGAAGTTGAAGGACATTGGTTTTCTTCTCTTTTTTTTTTCTCTTTTCAATGCAATGTCCGACCCACAACTTAGACCCGAACCATCGATCGATGCAATATGTCCTCGAACGATTTTCGTTACCGAGATTTTGACAGCGGAGTGTCGAAATGCTTTATTTTCCCAAGACGTTTGTTGAACTAGATTTTGTCGACCTGCAAGACTCGAAAAAGGTTCTAAACGAAACATATAACCTGGATATAGTCGTTTCAACTCCGTAGGTCCCAAACCTGACATGCTACCTGACTTGCTTCCAGCGTGTATATGCAATGGGTGATGTTTATCCAGAGGCTACAAAACTTCCCAAGGGAGAATATATTCTGCAGCTATATCTGCGGTTTGTGCTACATCTCTGATAGAACCAACCAGTCTTTTGGATGCATGGACTTGCTTTATATTTTTGGAGAGTAGAGTTTGTGTCATACTAACTCCAGGCAGTACCTATCTTCTGAATGAGACTTGTCAGCGACATGCCCGTAAAAATTAGCTTTAGTTTTTGGATCGATATTGTCTTTGGCTTCAGTATTGGGTTCGTCATGATATTGTTTTTTATGGCTGTTGTGAAGCTGCAATTAAAAGAAAACAGAGGTCAAGACAAGCTAGAAGTTATAATCTTAGTCCGCACATAGTGCTGCATCAAGCTGATGGTTTAATTTTGTTTGTACCTCACCGTCTCTTCTTATTTTAACTGCTTTCACCAGGCATGAAAATGTGCAGTTGCTGGAAAAGTTGAAGCAACTTGTTTTGTTTATCGAAAGAAATTTGGCAGAAAAGGTAAGGTTGTGAATTAAATTTTACTTTGTATTGAAAATATAATCTTTATCAGGAGAGTATGTGTGCTGAACCAGGTTGGGGACAAATCTTGGATCATTTTTAATGTTTATGTTTTGTCTCTTCTCTTATGCATTTAACATCTTGCGCTTGAAGAATAGAGTTTAGGCACAGCGCCTATCATATGGTTTTGTCTGAAGATTTTTCCTTCTTTAGGAATTTACTGACCTGTTATGCTTATAAAGCAGGTGTTTAAATGTCTGAGAAGAAGGCTCGGCTCTATTCATTCTTGATGTAAACCTTTGAGATCTTCTCTCCATTTCTCGTTTCCTCCTTTCCACCCTTTTTCTTTTGGCATTGCAGGAGGTTATTCGGCTGAACTTCTATTCTGAACCAGACGGTTGTGTCATGGGAAATGGTGCCTTTAAATCATCTGTTTTAATTCCTGGGTATTCTTTCTGTTTTGATTACCTCCTTAAATTTTCTTATTTGATATATGACACTCAGTTCCCTAAACATGCATCTCTTACTTTTATTATATTGCAGGAAAAAGGAAGCGTTTTATGTGAGCCAACCGATGACGGATAAGCTGCCCAAGGTTTTCAACATAGATTGATTGCTGACGTAATTGATTCTGTGGTATTTGTTTCTCTCTGACTGCCTATCGATTTACTGTTTAACTGTACCTGCAGAATGCGCCTCAAGGATCTGTGTTGCTGGGAGATATCTCACATGGGAAATTATCATTTGATGATAAAGAAGGGAAAAATCCGAAAGATAATCCTGTTTCTTATCAGATATCTTATGTTGTTCCACCAAACAAGGTTTCTAATAACACTATCTTTCCTTTCCTCCCGTCTTTTCTACCTGGTTTGCAAGTGAAAGTAGTCTCTTTTGTTAAATATATGACACTTTGTTTGATAGACTGAGGAAGAACAAGGGAAATCTTCTGCTCCAACTAGCACTAAATCTGTATCGGAGCGCATGGAGGAAGAGGTATGGGCAAAAATTTGGTTCCATGCCTTTCTTCGATTCT